AAGTTAAAGCATCTTAAAAAATATATTTGTCCACCCAGCTGGTGTAGTGGATGTGACATCACGGCTCTGGGTACTGGTTCCTGTGGACAGCAGCTATTACCACTAGGCAACCCTGTCACCTACACTTCTACCTTGATATAACACTGTCCCTGGGAGCCAAAAAATCTTACCGCATTATAGGTGAAACCGCGTTATATCGAACTTGCTTTGATCCGCCGGAGTGTGCAGCCCCGCCCCCCCGGAGCACTGCTTTACCGCGTTATATCAGAATTCATGTTATATCGGGTCGCGTTATATCGGGGTAGAGGTGTATTATGGTTTATGGGATAAAGTTGCTTTTTTCTCCCTGTAGTTAAGTTTACTAATATCTTTCAGAGCAGTACCCTCTTGCAGGCCTATGAAATTATTTTTGGAATCTATTATGCCCCTGTTAAGGATGACACTTTACTTGACTTCTAGTAGTCTTTACGCTTTTCTTTTCTTTCTTAATTGCACTTGCTTCTTTCTATTTGTCCCATTCAAATTTCTCCTGAAACAAAGGGTCTGAATAAAATCAGAAAAGAAATAGTTTCCTGCTTATGCCATTCTGGCTGTCAGGTTGAGTGAAGAACCAGGCTAGCACTTGGCAATGGCAAACTGCACAAGCTTAATTACAAGCCCCTACATTTGCAGCCAGAGGAACCTCCACATGCAGATCTCTCCTCTCCCATCTTGAAGGTGGGGTAAGCTCTCTCCATTCCACCATCCCCTGTACTCCACACAGGGTGCTCCGGGGTACAGATTTACATGAGGGAAGTGTTGAGGACCTTTATTAGGGGATCTGGGGCACCTGTGGCTAGAAGGAGGCCCCCGCTAGTGCAGCTCCATTAAAGTCATGTTGCCAGAGTGATGGAGATCAAAGCTGGTGTTGATCCTTGGGAATCTGCAGGGTTTCTGGGTGAGTTTCAAAACCTGTTCTGTAAGGAGCAAGCCTTGCCCCTCTAATGGGGCAATGTTGGAGAAATTTCAGTAGGGGTTCCTTGTGGAGATTTCCTTCTCTTCAGTCTCCTCCCCCAGATTTTACCGTGGAGAGGGTGATCTAGCTCATTCACAGCCATGATAGCCAGAGATAGTTGCACCATTTGAAACTCACAAAAGAAAGATAACCTTAAACTCAAAGATAATTGTGCATGAGGGAAGCAAGGAAAAGACTAGAGGGACCAACTCTGAGTACTCACTACATAGGACTCCTTTGAATATAAAAAATTGCAGTATTAAGGCTTTGTTCTTTGCTTTTTAAATGTTAGAAAGTAGAAAGACTCCAGTCCATTAAACCTGTAACTTATTTTTATGGTATTAGTATTATTTTTCATACCCCTCTTCTTGTAAATTAAGCTACCTTAGTACTGTAAGTATAGCATTTTTAAAGAAAAAATAAATAGCAGAAACCTCTAAATTATCTGAAATAGCTTTTCTATATATCATTTTGTGATTTTAGGTCTGGTGTCTTGTAACCTAGCAGGATTAGAAACAAGTGCTGTATTTCTTTAGAGAGGGGGGGATCCCCAGCGCTCTGTGGTATAAAGCCTTCTTTTCTAGCACTTGTGGGTCATAGGATATTAGACCTCTCACTGGGGCTGAATGATTTTTCCAGACGCAAACAACAAGAGGTCCCTGGTAGTGCAGCTCTGATAGAATCGTGCTTATGTGTATGTGTGTGTTTTTTAAGATGGAGGGAGTATGGAGGCCAGAGCCGCTGGCGAGGCAGAGGGACTCTGTGGGGATGGCTGTAGCCTAAGAATCCTCATGGCTCAATGGTGGATTCTACAACCTATTCTGTGAAAGAATGAGGGTGGGCAAACCCCATCCCCCACAACAATGACAGATTCTTCTCAGTGTGAGGCGAATCCTCCCCCTGCATTCTCTCCTAGAAGTTTTAATACGGGAAGTGGTGGCAGTAAGAACTCTACTGACTCCAATGGCAGCACTACCAGGTCCCTCAATTGTTCCCTATAGTATATTTAAAACATTTAGTTCAATCCAGTTTTAGATAACATGAAGTGGGATTTTTAGACGCACTCAGTTAACCTAACTCTGCTGCCACTGAGGTTAAGTTTTACCATTGCCTTCAATGGAAGCAGAGATAGATCAATGGTACAACTCCCATTGACTGCAATGGGAACAGAGTTAAGCTAGTGCTGAAATTTTTGAAAACCCTACCCTCAAAGCACAGGTGTTGTAGATGTAAAAGGATATTTTCTATGGTAACCTCACTTTCTTTATAATATTTCAATAAGATACTTACTAAAAACAAACATAAAATGTTATTTTAATCCTGATACCAGCTAAAAATGGTTGTGCTGTATATACAAAGCATATAGACTGAAACGTACCCTTTTGTGAGCAAAATCCCACCCCACTATAAATAATATCAAATTTGCCAAAAGATTCCAACATGAGACAATAACTCAAAAGAAACAAGTGTAAGTTTATTGGACTCCAACATTTCTTAGTCAAAATCTAAGTAAAGAAAACACACAGTAGAAAAAGTCATACAAAGCAGCAATGGATTTACATTACATTAAAGGAAGAGTTATTCTAAACTATTAATTCTCAGTCCTAAAAAAGTAAAAACCTATTAATTAAAATCCAACACTGATGTAACTGAACCAATATACAATGGCTACATGATATACAGGATTATAAAAAACAGCTTTTATTTGTCTTAATCTATAACACTTTAAAATGACAAGTGATTTTATGTAACTTTAAATTGGAAAATATTACAGTTTGCATGTTTATGTTGGATTATTCCAACTTCCACAAAGCGTAGGAGACTTTTTCCAAACACTACAAGTGATCCCATTTTTCCTGTTGTTTTAAAAAGGGACACTGTCAAGGTTAAACTCTGACGTTTTGATTTTGTAACTATTCATAAGTTTTCAAATATTGTATTTTAAAGGGTATTTTAAATTTAACACTTTGCTACAGTGGTGGAAACCCAAACACAATATTTGTGCAAGTGTATGAGAACTAGAAAAGGAAACTGATTTGTCTGTTTTAACTGTCTCAGAATAGCAAAATGCAACAGATCTACAAAGCTCAGATCCATATTTCAGACACACTGCCAAAGTTTGAGGGTATCCCTATCTGGGATTTTCATGCCCAAACATCTAAAATGTTAACAACTGGGGTTTAAAAATTATATTAGCTTTATTAGTATCAAGTATTGTTAACACAGGTAAGGATGTTTACAGTATGTTTATCATGATAGTATCCCTTTATGTACAATAGTTAGTACAATTTTTGTCACAAGTCATTTTAAACAAACGAGAATCAATAGGACTTCAAAACAAAAATCCAAATACTATCAGGCTGAGTTCAACACAAAATTTAACACTGATTCACTAATTACAACATAAAAAAAAATCTATCTTGCTTTGATTTTCACCTAGAACTTCTGGTAAGAAAATGTAAACAGACAGTATAGGCACATGCCAGATTTTATAGGCACATGCCAGATATTTGCACCATAACTGCTAGTGCTCAGGAGTTAGGGCCATATTCTATCCTTGTCCCACATGAGGAACTTCCACTGATGTCAATAGAAGTTTTGGGCAAAATCTTAGGCCTTGTCTACATTTACCGGGGATTCGACGTGCGGTGATCGATGCATCAGCAGTCGATTTAGTGCGTCTAGTGAAGACCCGCTAAATCGACCGCCGATCACTCTCCCGTCGACTCCTGTACTCCACCTGAACGGGAAGCGCAAGGGGAGTTAACGGGAGAGCGTCTCCAGTTGACACTGCGTAGTGTGGACTCCGCGATAAGTAGATCTAAGTACATCAACTTCAGCTACGTTATTCACGTAGCTGAAGTTGCGTAACTTAGATTGATCGTCCCCCGTAGTGTAGACAAGGCCTTAGAGTACAATTCCGATCTGGAAGAAACCTGCACTTCCTACTTGGGCAAAAAGCCTCATGGATGTCAATGGGAGCATTGCCCAAGGAGAGAATGCAGGAGCAGGTCCCCTACAGCTGTGTGTTTTGGTTCACTGGAGGGTTGTAAGGCTATAGTTGTGTTCTGAAATGAGACTGACAACTCAACTGCCATCTCTGAAGTTTAACTGTCTATTGTTTTCTTTAAAAAAGTTACAAAATTAGAGTAGCAATACCATTTCATGTCCTTTGTCTATTTTGGTAAAATTGCAGAATTACACACTAACTATATATGTAGCCTTTATTCAGAAGAACATTCACTTATAACATTTTTGTTTCTACCATTTAAAAGTCCACAACATGTAATTATTTCCATTGCTTACTTTGAGTGGTTGATTATGGCCCCAATTCAGCACAGCACTTAAGCATATGCTTAAAGTTAATCATGTTTTAAGGCCCAATGACTGCAGTGGGACTTAAGCATGTGCTTAGCTGAATCAGTACCTACATGAACTAGCTTTACTTCACAGGCCCAATCCTGTTCCCACTAAAGTAAACAGGAATTGTCACTGACTTGAGTTGGAACAGGATGAGCCTCTGTCAAATTTTGTTGATGGAGGACAAAACAAACGAAGAAAGAATTAAATTCTAAAGTATATATTAAAACATCTGCATGTTTCTGTCATGCCATATGAAAAAGAGCACAAAACCTCAAAGTTTAAGAGAAATCATACAAACTTTCTGCAATTGTTAAATAATCAGACAAAAAGCCAAGGCCTTTAGTACCCAATTCACACAGTTGCAAAACTAAACCAAATATGATGAAGACAGGTTTTTTGTATCAATAATTTGCCTATCATTCTTGTTATGGCCAAACTAGACATTCTTTAAAAGACCTTTATTGTATAAACAAGCAACTAACAATTTCTTCCATAATTTAACTTTTCTAACATATATTAAAATTACATGAGTGGAAGCATATTTATTCCATATCCTCCAAAGTAAACACTTCTGTCTCAGGGCTTTTTAAGATACTATATAAAAGCTAATAGAAAACCAGAATTGCTATAAAATATCTCATATTTAAAACTTTATTTAGAGAGCCTGTATTCCTTTATTGGACAACAAACAGGAACTAATTTAAAAAAAGCACAGAACATGCTCAAAATTAAAACAAACTTTTAAAAATAATCTAACAAATTTATAAAGGAAACTAGTTATATCCACTTTTTTCTGATTTTTACAATATATATTACACTTGGGGGAAAAATCAAGACTTCTTCAAAATATAGCACAAGGTTGTTATATGTGTGCTATTTATAATCTTAGTATACCAAAAATGCATCAAAGAAGTGCTTCAGTTGAAAATTATGATTATTTGATAGCTGAACTGGTCATCATATTTTCTCTTAGAAGGGTATACTCATTCTTAGAAGGCTAGGTACAGACTGTCAACAAACTAAAAAGGAAATATCATGCTGTTTTGTACGGGAATCAATGGTGAAAACTTAGGCACCAATTTTAATACCTTGCTTTCACATTTTGTCCACATAGATTTCTTCTCCTAAAAGACATTTAATGTAAACACAAAACAATTATTTAGCTGTGCTAAATATATTTAACATGGCTTTATTTCATTTTGCTTTTGTTTAATAAACAAGGTTGAGTAATTATTATTTTATGCTGAAATTACTTCTTTTCATTAAATGGTTTAGTTTTGTTAGTTGGAATTTAAAAAAGGAGTCACATCCGGAAGCGTCACCTATAAAAGATTACATAGGAACCTTGTTTCATAGAATCATAGGGTTAGCAGAGACCTCAAGGGTCATCTAGTGCAGGGGTTCTCAAACTGGGGGTCGGGACCCCTTCAGGGGGTCACAAGGTTATTACCGGGGGGAGGGGGGTCACGAGCTGTCAGCCTCTACCCCAAATCCTGCTTTGCTTCCAGCATTTATAATGGTGTTAAATATATTAAGAAGTGTTTTTAATTTACAAGGGGGGGGGGGGGCACACTGAGGCTTGCTATGTGAAAGGGGTCACCAGTACAAAAGTTAGAGAACCACTGATCTAGTCTAACTGTAGTTTTGATTGCAGTTTTCATCTAAAAATACTTGCAGCTTATTAGTGTAATTATGTTCTAACATAATTCATTTGGAATAAGGAAAAACACCTATGGGTAGGTGTTAGCGTGTTTAGTAGCAGTTTTAGATTTTTTTTATCCACCATGTTGTAGCAAAAGACTTTGTAGCTAATTATTGCAGTTTGCTGGTAGCTGAAAGTCTGAGGGTCATATTGTGCCATCTCCTTTTATGTTGAACTTCCCAATGAAAATAAAGTGCTGTTTTAAAACAAACAAAACAAATGATGGCAAATATGGACTTTGATTGAGTAAGGTATCTAAGTATGTGCCTAACTAACCACCCACTGAAGTCAATAGGCAAACCCAGCAGCTTAAAGGTAGGCACCCATGCTCAACCTTGCTGAATCAGGGCCATTGGTCCTGAATATTATCATTGTTGTCCACACCTTTGTATTTTGGGCCTCAGCCTTGTGACTTCTGTGGGAATTCTGGATGCTGAAGGAATGCAGTATCAGAACCTTATAGGATGAAGGTCTTGATCCTGCTCCCACTGAAGTCAGCAACAAAACTCCCGTTGACTTCAGTGAAAGCAGGGCTGGGCCCTAATTACACAGTACTGAATGCAATACTTTCTCTTTTCTTTTCCCATCTGAAGTTGGCCTGAATCCAAAATGGACTGTCAAGTATTTAATTCATTTACATTCTCACTGTTTATGCTAATCCATTCCACTCAATTAAATTTAAAATACCAACAGCAGAAAGATGGTTTTAACTCTGAGCTTCTAAACAAGAGAAGCACATTGTCAAAAGCAGGTGAAAAACTAACTCTGGACCCATGCCATAGCTTCTGGCAAATATCTGATACTAATGATGCCAACCATTCCAACTGTGACTATTTTTAATCATTACCACCATGATTTTAAACAAACCCAAATAAACACTTCTAACACAAAGGATCACAAACAATAGAAAGTGTCAGAAAAGAAACAAATATTCTATACACTGTATTTACAAAATCCAATGATTGTAGTGTGGTGCTTTTTCCTCTGCTTTGAACTGGATAGGTTTGTTTAATACAAAATTTAAATACATATTTTGTTCATTTATACAGGTCTCTATGTAAATATTTACATTTTTTAAAAAAACATATCTTTGTGCTAATGGCCACATTTACTGCCACACACAGGAGTTTATTTCACAACCCCTTCCTCCTCTTCTGCCATTGAAAGTAATATATTCATACATTCTATTGTACTCAGAATTACACACAACAGTACAAACCAGAGGAAACAAAATTGTGAATTGTTTGACATCCATTCAATGTTAGTTCATATGCATAAACAGTACTGTTGTTTGTATTATAAGTGCTGCTTTATTACAATGCTTGTAGTTACTGAAATACCTACAGTAAATTAGCCTTTGGGGCGTTATATAAAGCAGCATACTTTTTTTCCAGAGTCTTCCTTAGAAACTTCTATTTAAATGGCTGAAAGCAGGCTTGCTGCTACTTTAAATATAAAATCCAAGTATTAATATTGCTGATTTTAGGTTCTATTGTATTTTGCACAAGTTCCATATAAGAACAAAACAATTCCACATTACCATAAAATACCAAACATTCATTCCCAATAAGTGTCAGGGTAACTCAAACTTGAGGTTTATTTGTTATTGCTAAAATATTACTAAAAATCTAGATTACTAAAGAAAAATATTCCATCCACTTCTTTCTTAATTTCAAGTGCAGGGCTAATATTTATAGGGAGCTCAGGTGTTCATTATACTCAAAACAAGAAGTTGGTTACAGTATAACACTACTATAAACTCACAGTTAGAATCCACATTGTTGTTCCTTTTTTGTTTTTAATGTATATTTATATATATTGACACCACAGGATGAGGATCCATGCATACAATCAAGATGTGATTGGATTTCAATGTTAATGAAATTAAATTATACTGTTACTATAAGATCCCAGACAACAGTACTTTAAATTATTCAAATTTCTATCTACTAACATCAAAGTTAGTTTACCTTAATCTTCAAATCCAAGCAGCATCATAAATCCATCTTTACTTTTTTGATGTTTCTTGTCCCCTTAGATTTCTAGTTTATATGGCATACTTCTGAAATATCCTGGAAATGGTCTCCATTTAACCAGCTTTTTAAACTACCTGTTGAAGATCTCTAGCTAATTGTGTGTCTGTTCATGGCTCCAAAGACTAAATGCAGTCTTGAATGTCCTGTGACAAAGTTTACACATATATTGTCTTTTGAATGTGATTGCTGAAAGTGGTGGAGCATGATAAAAGAGTGTGTCCGATTCTTGTGGAACAAATAATTTCTCAGTAGTAGTTGGGCTCTCAGATAAACCTGTCGGACTATCAGGCTCTAAGGGCTGGATTTTGGGTAGAGGTGGGGGTGGAGGCAGAGGTGGCGGTGATGGGGAGTTAGCTGGTGGACATATCTCAGCATCTTTATTCACTGATTCCTCTGCAGCCTGTGACATATGAGACTGGAAGTGGCTCCACAGACGGAAGTTGGTCCGGAAGGCCTTGTTGCACACATGACAAATAAATGGTTTTACAGAGCACAAAAGCTCCTGGTGACGCTCCAACTGCTTGTGTACAGTAAAAATTTTTCCACATTTTTCACAGGGCCACAAGCCAGTGACTTTATTAGAAACTACTTCCTTAGCTTCTCTGTTGGTTTCAGTGACCTCATCCTCTATATCGTCTGCAGGCTCTTCTTTGACGTGAATTTTAAACTGTTTGGAAACACTTAGATCTTCAGGGAGGCATGAAGAGTCTTCAGAATCAAAATTAATTTGTTCTGAAGAATCACTGAATACTCCATCTTCCTTTGCAGTAACAAAATTGTTCATTTTATTAGATTCTGATTGAGAATGCAATCTTGAAGCATTCGTTATTTCACCATTGTGATCAAGAATAGGTAAAGAAAAATTCTCTGTTGGGGCCATGGTATTTTGATTGTGAACTTCAACTTGATGACGCCAAATACTAAAGGAGGATTTAAAAGTGCGCATACATTCAAGACAAGTGAGCTTCTTATATTCACACTTGCTTTCATGTTCATGCTTCAGCTCTGGAGAAGAAAATCTAAGGCTGCAATAAGGACAGACTGTTGCATTTCTACAAAGTCGCTCATGATTTCCCTGTTCAATAAGAGAGGAGAGCTTAGCATTACAAAGACGGCACTGATAGACCTCTTTGTTTTCAACTGGACTTGCAATATGAATGTGCTCTTTTTGCTTAGAAACCTTATTTCCTCCAATTGGTTTTTCCCCTGGATGCATTTTTATGTGCTGTTTAAATTGGGAGAGAAAACGATAAGCTTTCCCACAGTAGGTACAAATGTAGGCTCCTTTGGATCTTGATCTTAAGTTCCTTTTGATGACTTGCTGTGCTTGTGAACTGGACTGTCCCTGAAAACCTTGTTTGCCACGTCGTAGTTTAACAATCAGTGCTTTCTTAATCTCTCTCTCTCTCACAATATCAATTAATTTTCTTTGGAATTTTTCATCCAAGACAGCATGTGAACTGGAAGCAGGTGAGGGGTTCTTCACAATTCCATGCTGTGTCTGGCAATGAGTCCATACTTTGAAGTTCGTATGAAATCTCTTGTGGCATATATCACAAGCATATGGTTTCTCTGGATTATGATACATATTAACATGACGGTGAAGGCCTGCTGTAGATCTGAAAATCTTAAGGCAGTGCTTGCATTTAAACTTTTTGTTTGGTCTCACTTCTTCCAATTCACTGTATTCATCTTTACTGACATCAGAATCTGGAAAATCAGCATCAAGACGCGTAGGACTTGAACTTTCCTCAAAATTATCCTCTGACCCAGGAGAACCATGCTCATTCACTTTCAGTTTTTTAAATGGTAGCCTTCTATCTGCTTGAAACCTCCTTTTTGCTGGAAGTCTACTCATATCCCTATTATCATCCTCAGTTTTAAAAGGGAAGTCTTTACTGGCAGATGTTGAAGCATCTCCTACTGTAACTCTTATTATTTCAGAAGGCTCTGAAAGTGGGCTGCTAGGTTCAGTTTTGATTCGTACATCAGTTAGAGGAGAAGCTACCTCCCTATCAGTTGACTGAGAGGCACTAAAGGACCTAAGGCGGTGTGGGTGTATTACCTGTGTCTTGTCATCTAGGACAGCCTTTTCTGAAGACTCTTTCAAGGATGACTTTTGAGATGTAACATTAAATGTTTTTCCCTGTGAGTCACTAGTCACCAATGATGGTCCATGTGAAGCTTTTAAATCAATAGAAGATGAATAAATAGGAACCTGACTATCCATGGACAATGACCTTCGAAGGAGACTTTTTACAAGTGGGCCACTCCGGTCAATACTTTGGTTTTCAGGACCAGATCCACTAGATGGAACCACTAGTCCTAATTTTGAGTAGTATAGCAAATTCCTATCTTCTCCTTGACCATTTCCTTTTCCTGTCTCTCGCAACAAAAATGTAGATTCTGATGAACCATGCAGAGATAAGATTGGAGGACGTGGTCTTTTTAATGACATCTCTGCAGCTTTTCCTCTTAGAAGCTGACCACTCACTCCTGGCTCATCACATGAAGTTTCTTTCTCAGCTAAAGGCTTTTGTGGCAATACTGCATTCCTCTTTACCAAGCCACTTCTACTTTGGTCATCCACAGTTCCAGAAGGTTCATGAAGTTTGGTGTAGCTCACAGGACTGTCTTTTAGCCACCTCCTGTCACTTAATGATAAACTGTGAAGTGGTTCAATTGGTTTTGTTACTTGTGGCCTATTGTTTGTTTTGATGGCAATGGAGTGTGAAGGCTTAGAGCTATGGCTTAAATCATGTGTTTGACTGACATTTTTAACTTGTGCTTCATTTCTGCTCTGACAAACAATGACACTTCTCTTCTGAGAACCGCTTTCATCTTCTTCTTGAAACAGTATTTTTTTAATGGGACATGCTGGAAAAGGAGCTTGAGGACTCTTAGAAACAATGTTGGTAAGAAAGGAAATTCCAAGGCTGTAGCCCAATTCTTGAACAGCCGCAAGACTGCTTTTCTCAACAAACAAAGACGAAGAGTAAATGTAGTTTAATACATTCTCAAAAGCATCTGGTTCACAGAAGTCAAGTTGAAACACTGATTGGGACTCATTCTCTTTATTTGTGAAGAGAGTCTGGAAGTATTCACTGCTGGCAGCCAGAACATTTTTATGAGCTCTAAATTTTTGGTCTCCCACTATAAGAATAACATCGCATAGCTGTCCTTTTAGACGTTCCTCATTCAAAGCACTTAAGAGAGAAATGGCATGTGCTGGGTTTATGTAATGCAAGAGCCCCTCCATGATTTGGATTTATCTGAAAAACAAAAATAAAGATAGTTATGGTCTGTTTTATATACACTTTTAAAATATAACATGAACCTATATAACCGATTAGTTTCTGATTATAGCCCACATAGCTATTTTTTCATTAACATTAAAGAATTTTGAGTTTTGGGGCTATGCCTGGGAATTAAAAGAACAAAGGCAATCTGTAACCATAACTCCAATAGATACACAGGCATGAAAAAAAGCAATTTGTGATTCTGTTTTTCCAATGTACCTTAAATAGTCACTCTCCATTAAGATTATTATATCTGACCGATAAGAGAAGCTATGTTCTCTTCCTGTAGCTAGCATATGCCTACTTCTCTTTATACAGGAATACCCAGTAAGTTGACTGAGTGTGAAGGAAGTTTTTTCCTACCAATACTTCTGCAAAGACATATTAAAAAAATATTGCTAAAATCCTGAATCTGAGACCTACAATATGGGTCAATTTTTAAATGTAACTCATTTTTGAGGCTAAACAACATTGATAGTACCCTGTTAATTGAACAGACTAAAGTTTTTTGTTGCTGTTTTTTTAAATGATGGAAAAAACCTATACTGCTTAATTGTCTCTGATGAAGACTGGTGTAATTAACTCTCATATTTGCTTACATTTAAGGGAAAGGCAAAAAGTATACAGTAACAACTTTGGAAGTGTATTACTAAAAAAAAAATTACTTGTAATTGAGTGGCCATGTATCCTGTCTTTCTGGGAATTTCACAGTTTTACAATGGAGTCCAAGTGTTTTTTTGTCACGACTTCTATATATAGTGTACCACCAACTAAACTCCCTGGTTTGACCCCCAGCAACAGATGAACTTGGTGCCCTGGTGCCTTTGAGCAGGGTTCTAGAGTGGTTCTTCCTCACTGTATTGTTGCATGCCATGCGGCTGTAGTGCTCAAATCCTCAGGTGACACATGTATGGATAGCAGACTTTCTTAGACAGCATCACTCTGGAAGCTCATGTGGAGTTGCTTGCCCGCTAGGATCCCTAGATCCTTTTGAGGGTCACTGGTTTCTGGGATACAATACCTCATTCTATAGGAATGGACCTGTGTGGCATTCTGTACCTCAAAGCAGCATCCGGGAACCCCCATATTCATCCCGTCATATAATTATGATTAGGGCTGTCAAATGATCAAAAAGATTAATCTTGATTAATTGCAAGATTAAAAAAAATTAATCACGATTAATCAGTTTTAGTCACACTGTTAAATAATAATAGAATACCAATTTATTATACATATTTTTGGATGTTTTTTCTATATTTTCAAAATATATCAATTTCAATTACACCACACAATAAAAAGTGTAGAGTGCCACTAGGGTTACCATTCGTCCGGATTCCCCCGGACATGTCCGGATTTTAGAGCTAAAAATAGCGTCCGGGGGGAATTTCTAAATGTCCGGACTTCCCCCCGGGCTCCGACAGCCAGAG